TGTGTGTGTGTGTGTGTGTGTGTGTGTGTGTGTGTGTGTGTGTGTGTGTGTGTGTGTGTGTTTATTCTCTTTTGTGACAGGTACAACATTGAAGGATTGTATGCCATGGCTGCAAGTATTCCAAAGGATGAAAACCAAGTTTCCTATGACCTCACAAAGGTGATGCCAAACCAACAGACTCAATTGAATGACGGCATCCTCAGGACTTCTAGACTTGTGGTAGCCACAAAGAAAGACGTAACTAAGGTCACTCGGTCAGGGACAGTTCACTATACTGAACATGCTGAGTGGCGTGTTCTGCAGAATCTACAGCTTTACGGTAATGGTGATTTGTTGGTCTTCTTCTCTTATGCCTCTCCATGTGATGAAAAGTGTGCAAATCCAACAGGAAACTTAGGGATCATTGGTGGACTCAGCAGTCTCTTTAGTCAATCTGGGTGGGGTGCAAAGGCGTTTGTATTTAACACTTTATTCAGGCCACATGGGGGGGACATTAATTCAGACACGATACATAAGGCCCTGACAAATCTTAAAGCCATTGGTCGCCATAACATATTTCGCTGTTACAGGCCTGATAATGGTCATTTCCATTGCATCAAATGCTTCAGTAGTGATCAGATTGACCCAAACTGTATCTCATAATGCACCAACTCATTGATGTAACAAGGAACGTTTAAAAAAAACAAGTGAATAAACAAATGTTTTAGAAGCTGAAGTTTCTACTCGCGCTCTACTTGTTCACTTTCTTTCTCTAACATGGACTTTACTGTCTGAGCCATTTAAGGTCCAGCTAGGCTTAAATTTGTCTTTGCTAACTGATACAAACCATAAATTGCTATTTTTATTCTTATTTTTAAAGTAATGCAGCTCAGTTTAGAGGGAATCGCCCCAAAACCTCTGACGATAATCGTGCTGGAACTGATTTGACTGTAACAAATTTATATCGAATGGCTCGAATCGAATCGAATTTTACTGCTTAAATAGGCAGAGCCATAAATCCCAGTGAACCTGGAGAGCACCATTTATGTGCTTTTTCACTCACTGTTCATGTTTATTTGACTCCCCGAGGATTCGAACAAGCAACCAGAAACTAATTACATACATAAGAATCACCTTCAACATTACACATGATTAGTAAACATTATCAAATATAATTTGTTTTGTTAACAGTAGATTATTTACTAAAAGTTAATCACCCATCAGTTTACCATTTATTAAGAATAATTGTTGTGAAGTGTTCCTTTTGAATGTGTTTGTTGGTGCTTTTATTTTGAATGTTTGCAGCTTCACTTTGAGTGACACCTGGAACTGAACCTGTAACGTTCAGGTTAACTGAAGAGAAAGCTGATAGAAAACTACAGTCTGTATTTACATCGTTTCAATGGAGAATTGATGTTTTTACATCATTTGTGTCTTTAAAGCCTGATGAAATCTTCTCTGATTAAAGCTTTGCTCAGCAAACATTCACGTCTCAGTGTGTCAGTCATTTCAAACCAGCTTTAACCTTCACGGTGTCACTGAGCCTGTCTTTCTGTAGACTGCTCTTACAACAAGTATGATAAAAAAAAATTTTAGTGTCTTATTGTTCTGTTATATTTCTAAAAACCACACATGTAGACAGATCGTTTTTAAGCATCCAGTACACAACAATGATAGTAAAACCACAGCGTTGCTTCATCGTCCTCCACTTCTCATTTATTTTCTGAACTAAAAATCTCCACCTGCAAATTCAGCTTCTTGATCAAACTTAAATGGTATGAAAATTCAAAATATGCAGCATCAGTAAAATCATAAAAGAAACATAAAATATATTTTAATTAACTAGTAAAGTGTTTTAGTTCATTGTGAAGATATTGTAGTTGATTATTTCTATGTTCTTTGTCTATTTCACAAAATTTAATGTGAAATGAGGTTTTACTCTATGATGGTTTTTGATGGTCAAATTAAAAGAATAAATATTTGTTCGAGTCACTGTGGAGACTCTGAGGATCATATACATTAATTCACTAATATTAACATTAAACACTGAAGTGTTAAACATTAAAGTATTGTTTACACTTTAAAACTGTTATTGTCATGATGGGCTGTGTGGCAGGCAGACAGGAGGGTGGACCCAAAATGCAGGACTCTTGGAGACGGGATTCAACCTCAAAACGCAGCTTTTACTGCTGGAAAAAACCTTCGATACCTCAAACTCACCAAAACAAAACTCAGAACATCGATACTACAGACTGAATTAGAACAGAGAAACTAAACAGGAACAGGAGACAAAACACACAGCATGTAGAAGGCACGACACAACAGAGAACAAAGGAAAACACAGGGCTTGTATACACAGGGGAGTGATCAGAGAATGGGAAACAGGAGGGAGACACAGCTGGGTGAAATTAGGGCTAACGAGACAGGGGGGAAGTAAAACTGAACACACTGACATCAGACATGAACCTTCAAAGTAAAACAGGAAACAATCTGCAACGACACAGACTTGACAGAAAATATAACCCGTAACAAAAAATCAAACCAGCACAACTCAAGGATCAGAACATAAATCCTAATCTAGAAAAACACCAAAGCATAAGAAACAGAAAACGCTCGGTCAAAATGACTCAGAACCGTGACAGTCATGAGGGGAATTTAAGATATGCAGCAAAGAAACCTTGCATCACATTATTTTCATAACTGATTAATATTGTGGTTTCTTTTGTTTTATCTCATTGAATTTCTTTAAATATATAACTAGGTGACAAATGAGAGGACAAAGACAAACCTCTGACTCCTTCAGTGAGGAGATAGGATGGCTCTGCTTTATTGTTG